TGGCTCTCAAAAGGCAGCTGGAGGGATCCAGGTAGTGATGGAAATGTTCTGTATTTTAACAGTATCAATGTTGATATCCCTCTTTGTGAAACTGTCCTGTAGTTTTTCAAGATGGTCCCATTGGGGGAAGCTAGATAAAGGGCATACGGGATCTCTGTATAATTTCTTAAAACTGCATGTGATTATCTCAAATAAATAATTATTTCAAATACATTGTAAAAAGTTTCATTAAAGAAAAAAATGGTCAGAGATAGTTTTTTTGTTTAATATTTAATTAATTTATTTATTTGAGAAAGAGAGAGAGAATGAATGGTGGGAAGGGGCAGAGTGAGAGGAGAAGCAGGCTCCCCACTGAGCAGGAAGCCTGAAGAGGGGGCTCAAGCCCCAGAACTTGGAGATCATGATCTGAACTGAAATCAGCTGCTTAATTGACTTATCCACCCAAGCATCCCTCTTTATGAATTTTTATTCATGTTTTTTAAAGATTTTATTTATTTATTTGACACACAGAGAGAGATCACAAGTAGGCAGAGGCAGGCAGAGAGAGAGGGGGAAGCAGGCTCCCTGCTGAGCAGAGAGCCCGATGCGGGGCTCGATCCCAGGACCCTCAGATCATTACCTGAGCCAAAGACAGAGGCTTAACCCACTGAGCCACCCAGTGGGTTAAAGTGCCCCGTCTCTTTATGAATTTTTAAAATGTAACTTTGGTCCTTATTCTTTAAAGTAGACATAGAGACCCTGGCATCTGAGAGTTAGAAGTACTGTCAGGGTCGCCAGGTTCAAACTCTGCCTTCAACTAAGGCTGGTTTTCATCCTGCCCATTTTATAGGCAGAAAAACTGAGGCCCAGAAGCCAGCATGAATCATGCTTTATCTGGATTTAGGAATATTTTAAATTCCAGCTCGTATAGCATCAGCTGCAGCTGTTGGTTCTCAGACTATGGAGTTGCAAAGATTCGAGTCTCCACCAGAGGCTAACTCTTCAAACATGGATTTCAGTGACATATACAGGGGTTTCTAAACCAGACGTTTAGGTTGGGGTTTCTGCACAGAAGAGTGGAAAAAATCCCATCTTTGCAGTCAGGGAAACTGGGTTTCAAATCCTGACCCACCCAGTCAGTTTCCTCTTAGTTATGTGACCTGGAGGAAATCATTTCAGCTCTGACCCTCAGTTTTCTCATCCATGAAATGGGGCCAATGCCCCCTGATTTAGAGGATCCATTTAATACATGTTTCGAGGTGCTTAAGACAGACCCTGTCCTCACAGATATCCGTTTGGTGACTCAGTAAAAGTTCACGTAGAGAACCAGGCTCCTGGATGTGCATAGTAGGAGGACGCTCTTTCCCCCCTACACCTGCATGGCATAACTCTCAGACCTACCAAGTCCATGGGGAGTTCCCATCTGTCTGAGGGATCCCAGTAGCCTCATCACAAGAACGCAGAGGCAGAGTGTGGGCTGACTGTGTGCAGGCATGCTTCCAAGCACTTTATACCAATCATGTCACCATGGATAGGGACTGCCATCTCCCCATTTTGATGGATGTGGAGACTGAGGCTGAGCTTTCTGTTGCCTCCAGAGTGCACAGTGCACATGCTTGCTGAGTCAGGTGGGTCCCCAGCAGGCAGTTCTGGAATGCAGGGAAGCCGGATGCCACGCTCAGCTGCTGAGTCGGCTTCCCTGGGGCTGTCAGCTGTGTCCACAGGACAGTGGGAGGTTGTCTCATGAATCACCACCCCCCCCATACACACACATAGGGCAGTGAGGTCACCTCTGGAGGGAGCTGAGCGGGGGCTTCCTGAGCACCTCTGACAGCCCCGCCGCCGCAGCCCTGGTCATCTGGCCATGTTGGAGAGATAGGAAATGCCCTGAGGTTGTGCCTCCATCCTGTGTCAGGTCCATACAACCTGGTGCTACAAGTGAGGCAGGAAATAAACCCTTCATTTACTCAGAGAGGGGAAGTACCTTCACCTGGGATCAGGAAGCAAACAGAAGGTGAAACAGGGTTTTTCTGAGCACTTACTATGTGCCAGTCCTTGAAACCTTTAAATGATATGAAGTATTCTTTAGTCCAGTGATCCTTGAACAAGCATCAGAAGCACCTGGAGGGCTAGTTAAATACAAATTATTGGTCTCACCTACAGAGTTGCTCATTCAGTAGGACTGGGATTGGTCCTGAGAATTTGCATTTCTAAAGCATCTTCACATGATGCTAATACTGCTGGTCCACATTTTGAAAGTAACTAATCAGTTCAACTTCCTTTCCCATGTTTAATAGTAGTCTTTAACTTTCTTCTTACATACCTCCAGAGACGGGGGACTCATTGCCTCTTCTCTCAACCTATGCCATTTCTGGATTGTTCTTACTGAAAAGACAGGAATTTTGTGTGTGTGCTTGTGTTGAGATGAAAACTATATTGGCCTTCCCTTGCAGACCATTCTTTCTGCCTCTGGATTACATGGTGTCATCAGCCAGGAGCAGCTGGAAGGGAGAGAAGATGTATAGTTAGACTGAGGGTCTCCCTTACCCTCCCAGTCCATCAACCAAGCCCTGCCTGTTCTACCTTCTAGATCAGGGCTGTCCAACAGGAATATGTTGTGAGCTCTATGTACCTACAAAAATTTTTAACTTTTAAGTAACTACATTAAAAATAGCAAAAAGAGGGCACCTGGGTGGCTCAGTGGGTTAAAGCCTCTGCCTTTGGCTTGGGTCATGATCCCAGGGTCCTGGGATTGAGTCCCGCATCAGGCTCTCTGCTCGGCAGGGAGCCTGCTTCTTCCTCTCTCTCTGCCTGCCTCTCTGCCTACTAGTGATCTCTGTCAAATAAACAAAATCTTTAAAAAAATAAAATAAAATAAAAAAATAAAAATAGCAAAAAGAAGCAGGTGGAACTAATTTTAATCACATATTTTCTTTAACCCAGTGTATCCAAAACAGTATCTTTTTAACAGGCAACTAATATCAAAAATATTATTGAGCTCTTGTATATTCTTGTTTTTCATAGCATGTCTTGGATGTGTTTTACACTTACAGCACATCTCAACTCTGACCAGCCACATTTTGAGGACTCCATAGCCACATGTGGCCTGTGGCTACTGTTTGGGACTGGGGAGTACCCCTGTCCCTAGTCTTTATCTCCCCTGTCATGGCTTGTGCTCACCTGGATGCCTGCCCCTCACAGCCTCCCTAATCCATAACATGGCAGCCAAATTGTCTAAATTGTAGATTTGATCTTGTCCCCCTTGTGTGGCTCCCTGTTGCTCTCAGGATAACATCTGGCCTCCTTGGTCTGGCTCCCAAGGCCCTGCCTCTTGCTTTTCCTTCTCCCCTCTTCTAGGCCCCACTCTCCTGTTGTGCTGAGTTATTTCCAGATCCTCAGGACAAGCAGTGTCTCTTCCTCCTAAACCTTTGCATACATGGTTCCCCCTGTCTGGAATGTCCTTGCAATTCTTCTTCAGCTTCCCTTTCAGGTCACCTCTTCAGTCAACAAACTTTATTGAGCACCTACTATGTGTCAGACACTAGCCTAGGTCCTGGAACAAACAATACATAAGGAGGAAATGTGTATTACTAAAAACATACAGTATGTCAGATGATGAACAGTAAATCGAGATGACAGGGAAAGGTGGTGCTGGCAGTTACTCCTTGTACCTGGTGGTCAGGGAGGGCCTCTTGGTGACTTTAGAGCAGAGACCTGAAGAAGTAAGGAAAGGAACCAGGTGGCTACTGGGGAAAAAGCATTCTAGGCAGAGGGAACAGCCAGTGCAAAGGCCCTGAGGGTAGAATCTAACTGGAGTGTTTGGGGCACATTCCAGTGTAGCTGGGCAGAGTGAGAGAGGAAGTCATTGGAACTAAGGTCAGAGAGAGCAAGAGGTGGGTCCCAGATAGTGGAGGGCTATGTAAGAACTTGAGTTTTATCCTGAGTGAGGTGGGAGTCCTGCAATGGTGCTGAGTGGAGGAGGAACATGAGCTGACTTTGGTTTTAACCTGATACTTCTGATTGCCATGATTAGGACAGCTACTGGGCTGAGGGTAGGAGTAGACAGACTAGTGATCATGTTGGCTGGACCTGCATGGTTGCCATGGTGGTGGAGAGAAGAGGTTGGCTTTGGGATACATTGATGGTGGGGCCACAGGGTTTTCCAGATATGTCAGATACAGAGTATGAAAGAGCAAAGAGTCAAGGATGACTCTGAGATCTTGGCCTGAGCTTAGGATCCAAATGACTCCTCTTCCAGGAAGCTCTCCTGGGAACCCACAGCTCTCTGGGCCTTGCCCTAATGTGGCCTGTCATGGCCTGACTCTAGCTTGCCTGGGTGCTTCCCAAAGCAGTATAGGACTTGTTTACTATTCTGCTTTCAAGTTGTTTGATAAGTGAGTAAGAAGCAAAGGCAGGCTGAGCTGGAGTTATTCTTGGACTCACTGTAGGTCAGTCCCCACCCCTCACCCCATTGGGGCCTGTGTTTTCCTGTCTGCACAAGGCAATGGATATTCTAGCCTTTGCCCAGTTTCCTCACTGGAGAGGGCACTGCCAGTCCCATTCACAGGAGTCCCTCAGTCCTCTAAGTACTGGGCCTTGGGTCCTGCTCCATGCCCAACTTCACCCCTTGGGAAGGCACTGGGTTGGCCCACACGGCTGGGTCCTGAGTCAGTCTCACCAATGAGGTGGGATCTGGGACACACCCTACCTCCTCCCTGCTGAGAGTTTGGCCCAGCCAAGCCTGGTACAACTACCCCACACATCGCTGCCCCCTGACTAAGCAGTCATGGCCATGCTCAGGGGGTGGTTCTAGGGGTTTAGCTGCCTCATCTGCTGTGCCTGGGGTGTCATGTGGAAATTTCAAATCAGACAGGAAGGCCTGGGGCCCCGATAGTACCAGCGGGAAGGAATGCCACCCGGGTGAACGAGAGCGTGACCCAGGGCAACTCATGCCCCGCCCCTCCCTGTCACGGGGGTGTGGCCTGGCCTCTCCTGCCGCCCTCTTCCCCGGCCCAGTCTGGCATCGGCACAGTCCACACACGGCTCTCCTGGCAGCCAACACGGGCCTCCAGACCACAGGTACTGGGACACCTGCCGGGTGAGGGGCGGGGAGAAGGGTTAATTTTTAGAACAGGCTCTTCCACCGGCCTGATGTTTTGTGGTTCCTAGGTGGACCTGGATTTGCTCTGCACCTTCCTAGCTGGGTGAGCACCTCAGTCTCCATATCTGGAGGTGTCAGGGGAGGAGGACAAATATTCACCTCCCTGGGTTGTTTTGAGGATTGGGCCAGCCCTTGTCTGGCCATAGCAGGTGACCAACTCCTGTTTCTGTCGCCAGCTTGCTGCGGGACCTTCAGAAAAATCTTTGATGGCTCTGAGCCTGTTTCCCCATTTGTGAAATGAAGGGCCAAACTAGATCTCTGAAAGCTTCGTCCACTCTGCCCTTGCAGGACCAAACACTTGGGAGGACGAAGGTGTTTCCCCCCAAAACATCCCAGTTTCTGTGCTTTGACTAGCACGTGAAGGCAGCTGCCCTCCGGACATCTCCTCCGAAGGCGCCCTGGGCCCTCTGGGCTGGGCCTGATAGACTCGAGAAGATGAGGAGGCCACTCGTCTCTTCTGCCTTGGGCTCAATGGCACCTCTGGGGAGAAAACGCTGAACTTGCAGAGCCGGGCCGTGGGGGAAGGGAGCGCTGCTGCCTGTCAGAGGCTCACCCAGGCTGAGGGCCCTGGGAGGGAGCCCCGCCCCCCGCCCCCCCGCCCCCCCTCCCCCCCGCCCCCCGCCCCCCCTCAGTCCCGCCCCCTCAGTCCCGCCCCTCTAACGCAGCCACCATGGTCCCGGGAGCCTCTCCGTTCGTTAGGGAGCGTCCCAGCTCCTCTCCTCAGAGGTAGCCTTCAGGCCTTCAGCCAATCCGTTTTTGGTAAGGGGAACAAAAGATGAGAGTCATGTGCTTATTATTTTATGCTGCTTTGTTCAGAAACTGCCAGAAAAGTTGAGTCAGGAGTGTGTTAGGGGGAGTTGTGGTGAGGGAAGGATGCGGTGTTCTGTCCGGGGTCCAAACCAAGCGGACCTGTAAGTAATGGGCCCTCTTCTGTCTCTGAAACCCGTGGAACTGGGGCTAGTGCAGCCCTCTAAAATGCCTCTAAACCTGTGCTGTGAAATCCCCTCAGGCCACTCTCCTAGAGCGCTCTCTGCTCTCCCTCCTGCTCCGGCTCCGCCGCGGGGTGGGGGGGTGGTGCGTGCTGGACCTGGTGGGGGGGTTGGGGGGAGTCTTCCTCATTCTTTGTTCGTTCCATAACAACTTTATTGAGATATCATTCACATACCATCAAATTCACACTATTCAAGTGTACCAGTCAGTGTTTTTTAGTGTATTTAGAGTCGTGCACCCATCACCACTAATTTAGAATTTAGAATTTTTATCACCCCAAATAAACCCCGGACCCTTTAGCAGTCACCCCACATTTCCTCCTTCCCCTGACAACCTCTAATCTGCATTGTGGATTATCTCGGTGGATTTGCTTATTCTGGATATTTTATATAAATGGAATCATTTAACAGGTGCTCCTTTCTGACTGGCTTTTTTTTTTTTTTTTTTTCCTTCACATAGCATCATGTTTTCAAGGTTTATCCATGCGGTGGCATGTCATCAGGACTTCATCCCTCTTTCTGGCCAAGTGGTGTTGTATGATTGTATCACATTTTATTTATCTGTCCATCAGTGAATGGACACTTGGGTTGTTTTTACTTTGTGGCTATTAGGAATAAAGCTGCGTGGACATTCATGTGAGAGGAGTTTTTGTGTGGACATACGTCTTCAGTTCTGTTGGATGTATACCTAGGAGTGGACTTGCGGGGTCATATGGTGAATTTATGTTTGACATTTAGAGAAGTCACTAAGCTTTCCCAAAGGGGCTATCCCATTCTGCAATTCCACCAACTCTACATGAAGGCTCCCAATTTTCCACATCCTTGTTAGCACTGGTTATTATCTGGATTTCTTATCGTAGCCATCCTAGAGGGTATGAAGCAGAATCTCATTGTGGTTTTGTTTTGTGTCTTTTTAAAGTTTTAGTTATTTAAGTAATATCTGTGCTCAACATAGGGCTCGAACTCATGACCCTGACATCAAGAGTCATATGCTCCTTCGAATGAGCCAGCCAGGCGCCTCTCTCATTGTGTTTTTGATTTGTGTTTCTCTTAATAAAGAGATGTCGAGCATTATTCCAGGTACTACTGACGGTTTCTTTAGAGAAATGTCTGTTCAAATCTTTTGATTTTCAAATTAGGTTGTCCTTTTATTGTTGAGTTGTAGGCATGCTTTTCCAGGGGACGGCTCTGAGGCTCTGAGAATGAATGTGGTGTGCAGTGATCCCATTTAGTGGAGGGTAGTGGTGGGAACTCAATCCAGGTCTGTCTGACGTTCAAGACCCAGCAAGCTCCTTCTCTAGAACTGGACTCCTCCTTTCTGGTTTTCCCTGTTGCCAAACTGCATCTGTGTTGTGGGGAGAGGGAAAGAGAGAGACAAGAGAAAAAGATGAAAAAGAGAGAAACTTTGGTAACAGAATGAGAAGGGAGGCTGGAATGGCTCTGGCTGTTTAAATAGGCACCCACCTTGGAGAGTCAGAGCTGGGGAAAACCTTTTAAGAGGTTTAGGTTTCTTCCCATTAATCTTCAAATGTGGGGGAGGGGCTCAAAAATTTTTACTAGGGGGCTCACTCCCCCCTAGTTTTTCTTAGTTTCTAAATCTGAAACAAATCTGATTCAACCTTGAAACCCCACCAGAGAGCAACATCCCCTAGTGTTTAGCTGTGTCCAAGGATCTGAAGCAGTGTTTGCCATGCCTTTTTTTTTTCCCTCTTTTTTTGGGGGGGGGGCGGGGGACAGAGGGAATATGGGCAGGGACAGAGGGAAAGGGAGAGACAGAATTCCAAGCAGACTCCACAGCAGACTCCACACCCAGCACAGAGCCTGAAGCAGGGCTCAATCCCACTACCCTGAGATTACCACCTTAGCTGAAATCAAGAGTCCGATGCCCAACTGAATGAGCCACCCAGGCGCCCCAGTCACACTTCTAGATTGCACAGCCTTCCAAAGAAAAAAGCTTTAGGCACCCCTAACAGATACATATTTATAGATTTGGAAATGATATACAAGGACTGTGATGATTAGCTAATGTCTAAAGGCCCAATATACACTCAGTGTGAATTTAATCACAAAAATAGTGGATGGAAGTCCACATTCCGAGTAGTTTTCCTATTGGAATTTCATTAAGCAATACACATTGTATTGTTATCTATGCTGTGGCGTGTCATCAGGACTTCATCCCTCTTTCTGGCTGAATGGTGTTATACAATTGTATCACATTTTATTTATCCATTCATTGGTTAATGGACACTTGGGTTGTTTCTACTTTGTGGCTATTATGAATAAAGCTGCCGTGGACATTCACATGTGTATTGCTTACTGAAATTACCTCTCCACGTGTATGAGATCCCATTCATTGTTATTTTCAACATGGTAAGGTGGCTGATAAAGGCCTTGAGCGAGGAGCAGCTAGCAGTCTGTGCTGCACTTTTCCTGCTGCTTGCTTGCACTTTCTGGATTAGAGTTATCTCCATCTGTGGCTTCTTTGTAGGGACTCTTTGAAGCCATTTTTCTACTCTGTAGAAGTTGATTCCGTTAAAATGCATTGTTTGAGCCTCAGATCCACCCAACCTGGCACCAGTGTATCGCAATATATGGTAATAGGATGAATCTAGAGAAATGAAAGACAGGGTCACAGCAGACCTATTGTGGGGCTTCCCACTGGGCTTGGGATGCCCACTTAGAAGGCATGACATTCAGTATCTGACATATAGCCAAGGGTGCACATCAGGGTTGAACTATATACTGTTAGCTATTTTTAGTTAGAAGTTTAGTAGAAATAGATGGACTAATATGTCCCTCCTGTACTTTGGAGGTTATAATTTGAGAGACTGGTAGGTTCTGAGCTAAGGACATCTAGGCCAACCTCTGCCACCCTTCATGGCAGGGTGCCCATGACCAACCAAACCAAAATTCTAAAGAATTTTAGAAAATTGTTCTTATAGATTGAGCTGGCATCTGCCCTGGTGACATCCCAAGGTCCTGGCCTCTGGAGCTCACAGCCCCATGTGGTCCCTTTGTCCTGCAGGAACCCCTGCAGATACTGGGGGACAGTGACCAAGTTTGTCCGTGCAGTGCTTATCCCTTGGCTCCTGTTCCTCCAGCCACTTCTCTTGGCTTTGATCTTAATACCCCACACATCCCCTGGATTATCTGTTTGTCCAGACCCTATTCTGTTCAGAACCCAGGATTGAACATAGGATGGGAGATGGTGAGATATGGGTCACCTTCTTCACTGTAGTCTCTGTCTTTCTGTTAATATGACCTAAGGGTGTGTTAGCTTTGCTCTGTAGCTCTATCACTTTGTTGGCTCATATTACACTTTAACAAACAATGGTTATGCACCTGCTATCTGCTGGACACCAAGTTAGATGCTTGTGCTAACATTTACTTATCTTTCAGAGGGTCTTTAAAAACTCCTAGGTCTTTCTGTATGAACGGCCTCCAAGCTGGGTTCACCCATCCTCTTTCTGTACAACTTGATTTTGTCCCTTTTTATTTTTCTATTTTATTTATTTTTTTTAAAAGATTTTATTTTTTTTGTCAGAGAGAGAGAAAGCTCAAGCAGGGGAGTGGCAGACAGAGGAGAAGCAGGCTTCCCATTGAGCAAGGAGCCCAATGTTGGACTCGATCCCAGGACTCGGGGATCATGACCTGAGCCAAAGGCAGACACTTAACCAACTGAGCCACCTAAGCCTCCCAACTTTGTCCCTTTTTAACCTTCTAGGTTCGGCCTAGGTGTACTGCTCAGAGGCAACCTTAGGCCCTGGCTGCTTTGTTGGGTGTGCTGTGGCCAAAGGGTCATGTAGATTCATAACGGGTCCATCTGGCTCATGGTCCACTGGCTGGGGTCACTGTGGGTTGTTATCCCACCATTAAACTGCCTGGACAGACTTGAGACAAGATGGTGGAGGAGGTGGAAACTGAGGCAT